GCATTAATCGTATTTATGAAGAAGCTGTGCATGCCTTGTCTAACAGCTCCATATACGACGGAATCTGATGGCCTCTCACTTCGCATCTACGACACTGGTCAACTACTTGAGACAAGGTGGCTTATGCCAATTTCTGCGATGCTACTACTGAATGAATGGAAAGTAGTTAGAACTACAAGCAAATCTAGGCTAGAATGTGTTGAATTCACTGATGCTTCGAATGAAAGTAAGTGATAGAAGACGACTACTAGACTCGCTTGACCAGATGATGCTTGGTTTTATTGGAACATTCCAATAGAAGCTGTCTTCTCTGATTTCAGTGAAACCTTCATGTTGTTGAACTTACTTCCATTTCGAGTGAAAGTTTTGGGTGAAGAGATTCAAAGGTCGGTTCCACCAGAAGACGATGACGGATTCCTCTTGACCAGCTGTCGATTGGCTTTACTAGAGCATTCATGCTGACGCTGTCTCCGAGGCAATCTCCTTCGGTTCACGCAACACTTTCACTCGAAATGGAAGTAAGCTCAACAATTATGAAAGAAGAGAATTCTTGAAACCCTACTTTTTTTCGCATAAACCTTCATGGGACTTAACGTACCATTTTGAAGGAAAAGTTGGTTAGAAGAGATTTGTGAATTAGCCCCACTGGTAACCGAATCAGCGTTGCCCTGTAATGGAGTATGTTGTATTTTACGATTAAGTCCTCGATGCATCGACCTGCAATTTGGATGAATCCCGCTAAGCTGTTGTCTTTCAAGTGACAGACGTCGTCCGAGAGTGAAACCATATTTTACTAAAAACCCATTTAATGTGTTACGTAGTCAAACCAGCACAGATTCATCTGGGTCATAGAACGGTGAGCCGAGGTCTTTTTAGCACAATTTAGCACTTGCAATTCCAAGGCAACCCTCCTTCGGTATCCGCTGCGGCCGAGTTACAAATCCCTTCTACCTGCCTTTTCAAACGAGTTGGAAGGTATGCCAATATCAAAAAGGATTAAACGCAAATTCTAACACCCTAAAAGGGTTGGTAGGAGAAAGCAATTTTGTAAGCTTCCCCAAACTTTCATAGTCGCTAGGCTGTACTGTCTGCATTCAGCTCGAGTCACCCTCGAATGCACCACCATCCTCAGCAACACCACAAACCCTCTCATTAATACCACCAACACACTAGGACTATGGCCACCATTACTACCAACGCCATAAGAATTACCCTCCGCTATACGATAACAACAACCCTGCATCCAGAATACCATCAAAGACCCTATCAATAACAACACTATCATCATTCCCGCCACCACAACCGCCAACCCCATCACCCCTGCTACTACCAACACCATAACTGTCAGCAGCATTACTACCACTGCTACCATCATCGCCAACATAATCCTCACTCACACAACAAACACCATCACCCCTGCCACCAACACTAATACTACCACCGACACCAGCATTAGTACAATTGCCACCATCACCAACATCAGCAGAAAAACCAACACGATCTGCCACTGGACTCACCAGATCCGAAAGGCGCAATCCTTTGGCCGAGGAGGCCTCCCGATTGACGACAAACGTACTTTCCATTTCGTCCTGACCTCCATCAGCCACAGCCTGTCCGGACGGTCGAGCCTCGAACGACGCCTCGTTGCTGTTGCTGTTACTGTTGCTGTTGCTGTTGCTCCGGACCGAAGCAGTAACAGCCCTAAAGTTGGTCTGCACCTCATCGCCGGTACAGACGTCCGTACAGAGTTGACGTTGCCGCTGGTTGGCCGTCTGGTCGAAACGTGACGAGACGGAAGAGGCGGAAGAGGGTGAAGAAGAGGATGAGGAGGAGGAGGAGAGTGAAGAAGAAGAGGATGGTGAGGAAGAAGAGGAAGAGGAGGAAGAAGAGGAAGAGGATAAGGCTGAGGATGAAGAGGCTGAGGACGAAGAGGAAGAAGAGGAGGATGCCGAAGATGTGGCTGCGGCGGTGGCAACGTCGACGCCTACAGTCGGACCCTCGTCGACTGGCCGTTCGGAACCGTCAGCGAC